AAAAAAAATTTTTTTTTTTTTTTTTTTTTTTGAGAGATTTTCGCTATATGGCACATGTACTTGCCAGACAGACAGAGAGAGACATAGAGACAGAAAGCAAGAAATCACCCCCCAGGGGGGATGGTCACGCCGCAACTACTTCTCCATTCTCCTCTCGGGATCTTGGCATGTATGCACACGCGCCCAGCATGAGTTTAAGCTACCGGATCCAGGACTCGAACCGCAGTCAGCTACATGGGAATTCAGTGACAAAGCCATTATGCTAACTGCTGGTCCTGAGAAATGAATTCTTACCCTAGCTTTGTTACATGAATAATGTCACTGGGAAAACAGTGCAACCTCTCATGTTTCAGAGCCACCAAGTTCAGGTATACTATGTTCCCTTTCATTTCAGAAATGGATTTAATAGGGACCAGCAGATGACGTAATGGTTATGTCTCTGGGCTCCCACATAGTTGACCATGGTTTGAGTCCTGGACCCAGCGGCTTAAGAAACTGACCCTGGGCATTTGTACATACATGTCCAAGATCCGAAAGGAGACTGAAAGAAAAGGGATTGTGGGATAGCCATCCCCTCTGAGAGGTGATTTCTTGCTTTCTGTCTCTCTGGCGAGCACACATGCCTTATAGCAAAAATCTCTCTTAAAAAAAAAAAAGGAAAAGAAAGAGAGAAATGGGTTAATTATTAGGAAATGCCTACAATAGGTCTGAGATCCCAGCAACACAGGAACTGTAAAGAATCAAGTTCCATCTTCACGCTTCGTCCCCTGTGTCCCATATAAGTATAATTTCATCTCTGCTGTGACGCTTAGCAAGGTTAAAACGGACTTTTCTTGCATTTTCTCCACCCACTATTTGGAACTAGGATTATAACTAGAAACCAAGAGTCATTATGTGATCAAGCTATAGAGCTTTAGGGAGGGTCATGCCAGCTCGTGGCATGTTGTCTTTTCCCTGGAGCATCCCTGTTAACACTGGGTGATATTTGACAACTTGGGGCTGCATTTGCCTGGAAGTTTTCAATAGGAATGACTCTAGCGTCTAGCATCTGTGACTTGGGGTTTGATGGACTGTTCTTGTCTGTCCTAGCTCTGATGTACGATCTGAAGGTTCCCCGCTGGGACTTCCAGACAGGAAGACAGTTGCGCACCTCTCCGCTCTATGACCGGCTGGACGCACAAGGAGCCAGGTGGATGGAGAAACACGGGTTTGAGAGGCCAAAGTACTTTGTTCCGCCTGACAAGGGTAAGAAGTTACATCTTGCTTTTTCAACCTGGGAATTAATAAAGCTTATTTGTAAATGCATACAGCTAAACTGTATAGCTTGAAGAATAAATAATAAAGCTTGTTAGGCTGTTATAGCCTATAATGGGAGACTCCCCCATGTAAGTCCCCTCTTTTTCTTGCTGTCTTCCATTTTTTCTTTTCCATAGACCTCCTTGCATTAGAGCAGAGCAAGACTTTCTATAAGCCAGATTGGTTTGACATTGTGGAGTCTGAAGTCAAGTGCTGTAAGGAAGCTGTGTGTGTCATCGACATGTCCTCCTTCACCAAGTTTGAGATAACAGTAAGTATTTGGGAGCCATACTAACAGATCAGGAAACATGTATTTCCGGAGCGCTTCCAGCGTTTCATCTGCATTACACGTTTCCGAATCTTTAGCTCCTTGTTTCTAGACTTCAGCTTGCCTAGAAAGGCCCGTTTATCATAAAGACCAATAGCTTTCCTCGGAGCTCCTTGCAGCCAAGTCCATCTGCACCTGTTGTCTCCTGGATACTGGCTCAGCGAAGTTTCTCGGCCCAGGAGGGTTGTCTGTCTCGCTGTGTTGCCCAGCCAGGTGCTCTCGTTCTTACTCTTCTCCATCCCTAACCCTGCAGTCCACCGGCGATCAGGCACTAGAAATCCTGCAGTACCTCTTCTCCAACGACCTGGATGTGCCTGTGGGGCACATCGTGCATACCGGCATGCTCAACCAGGGCGGAGGGTACGAAAACGACTGCAGCATAGCTCGGCTGAACAAGCGCAGGTGAGGCTGGCTGCCACCCCGCTCTGCTCCCTCTGGACACTGATTTTTCTTTTCTTTTCTTTTCTTTTTTTTTTTTTTTTTAAGATTTTTGCTATAGGGCATGTGTGCCTGCTGGAGAGACAGAAAGCAAGAAATCACCCCCTCCAGGGGGCAATGACCACACCGCAGTCTTGTCTCCATTCTCCTCTCAGGATTTTGAGCATGCAGAAACATGTGCCTGGCATGAGCTTAAGCCACTAGGTCCGGGACTTGAACCGTGGTTGAATACATGGGAATCCAGTGACGTAACCATTACGCCACTTGCTGGTCCCTACACTGATTTCTTAAGGGTATCTAACACCCTCCTCCCAGAAACTGATTATCCCAGGGACTGAAACACTATTTCATGGGATCGTAGTTCACTACAGCACTAAATAGAAAAAAAATCATTGGTGACTTGGGGTGGGGTGAAGGAAAGCATGAGACTACATATTAGGTCATCGGGAAAGTCGTGATGTATTTTTGCATATTTTTCTATGCAAAAACCTGTCATGACCTTCCTGACGACCCAGGAAATCTCAGTATAGAAGAGTTAGGTACCCTGTTGGAAGCAGGAACCTTATGCTAGTAAGTCTATATAATTTCTTAGTACTAATAGGAAGCCAAAATTCTGTTTTATCATTATTTGGTATATCCTTGAATGGTGCTACTGGCCCTTCTGAAGCGAAGAGTTCATTTCCTGTGTTCTCCTCATTGCTTTTTTTTATTACTGTTTAAATTTGACCATAGAGAGATAGAGGGAAAGTGAGAAAGCAAACCTCCAGGTTCAGAACTCAAACCATGGTTAGCCATATGGGAGTCCAGCACCTTAACCACCACACCATGTGCCAGCTCCTTGGTTCATTTTCTGCTGTTCTTTTTTTTTTTAGAATTATTTTATTTAACTTTGTTTGTTTGTTTGTTTATTTTAATTTGACCAGAGTGGGACAGAGCAAGAGAGAGGGAAAGTGAGAAAACAAGCCGCCAAGTCCAGCACTCGAACTGTGGTTGGCCATGTGGGAGTCCAGCGCCCTTAACCACCATGCCACCTGCTAGCCCCTCTGCTAACTGGTTTTGATTATTTTGGGGTCTTACTTTCAGTTTCTTCATGATCTCTCCAACTGACCAGCAAGTCCACTGTTGGGCCTGGCTTAAGAAACACATGCCAAAAGACACCGACCTGCTCCTGGAGGACGTCACCTGGAAGTACACGGGTAAGGGAGCCCTCTCGAATCCGCAGGGAGAAGAAACCAGAAATCCACATATGTCGTCTGCATTTGCCTTCTTTATATTTGATTTTCAAAAATGGGTGTCAGAGGGACCAGCAGTTGGCATAATGGCTATGTCACTGGACTCCCACATAGTCAACCGTGGTTTGAGTCCTGGACCCAGTGGCTTAAACTCATGCCGGGCGCGTGTGCGTGTGTGCCCAAGATCCCGAGAGGAGAATGGAGGAGAAGGGATTGCAATGTGGCCATCCCCCCCGGGGGGTGATTTCTCACTTTCTGTCTCTATGTCTCTCTCTGTCTTTCAGGCGAGTGCATGCACCCTATAGCAAAAACCTCTCAAAAAAAAAAAAAAAAAAGCACTAAATAGAAAAAAAATCATTGGTGACTTGGGGTGGGGTGAAGGAAAGCATGAGACTACATATTAGGTCATCGGGAAAGTCGTGATGTATTTTTGCATATTTTTCTATGCAAAAACCTGTCATGACCTTCCTGACGACCCAGGAAATCTCAGTATAGAAGAGTTAGGTACCCTGTTGGAAGCAGGAACCTTATGCTAGTAAGTCTATATAATTTCTTAGTACTAATAGGAAGCCAAAATTCTGTTTTATCATTATTTGGTATATCCTTGAATGGTGCTACTGGCCCTTCTGAAGCGAAGAGTTCATTTCCTGTGTTCTCCTCATTGCTTTTTTTTATTACTGTTTAAATTTGACCATAGAGAGATAGAGGGAAAGTGAGAAAGCAAACCTCCAGGTTCAGAACTCAAACCATGGTTAGCCATATGGGAGTCCAGCACCTTAACCACCACACCATGTGCCAGCTCCTTGGTTCATTTTCTGCTGTTCTTTTTTTTTTTAGAATTATTTTATTTAACTTTGTTTGTTTGTTTGTTTATTTTAATTTGACCAGAGTGGGACAGAGCCAGAGAGGGAGAGAGAGGGAAAGTGAGAAAACAAGCCGCCAAGTCCAGCACTCGAACTGTGGTTGGCCATGTGGGAGTCCAGCGCCCTTAACCACCATGCCACCTGCTAGCCCCTCTGCTAACTGGTTTTGATTATTTTGGGGTCTTACTTTCAGTTTCTTCATGATCTCTCCAACTGACCAGCAAGTCCACTGTTGGGCCTGGCTTAAGAAACACATGCCAAAAGACACCGACCTGCTCCTGGAGGACGTCACCTGGAAGTACACGGGTAAGGGAGCCCTCTCGAATCCGCAGGGAGAAGAAACCAGAAATCCACATATGTCGTCTGCATTTGCCTTCTTTATATTTGATTTTCAAAAATGGGTGTCAGAGGGACCAGCAGTTGGCATAATGGCTATGTCACTGGACTCCCACATAGTCAACCGTGGTTTGAGTCCTGGACCCAGTGGCTTAAACTCATGCCGGGCGCGTGTGCGGGTGTGCCCGAGGTGCCTAGAGGAGAATGGAGGAGAAGGGATTGCAATGTGGCCATCCCCCCCGGGGGGTGATTTCTCACTTTCTGTCTCTATGTCTCTCTCTGTCTTTCAGGCGAGTGCATGCACCCTATAGCAAAAACCTCTCAAAAAAAAAAAAAAAAA